GGCAGGGGAGGGGGGCATAGAGTGCGGCGGCAGCATGTGTGAGGGTGGTGTCGGTGTTGAGGGCTCGGGGTCGGACTATCTTCAACTCCAAAGGCAGCGGCGGGAGCTCGAGGCCAGGTGCGCTGGGGGGATGGGGGGCTGGGTCTGTCAGCGAGGGGTTTGGGTCCGTTTTGTCAGCGGTCAGTCGGACGAGCTCTGAGGGCGAGAGCGTCCTGATACAGGGTGCTGCGGGGCTTGAAGCCGCGCTGTTGGCCCCTGCCAAGACACGCCCACGCCCGGCGCCCGCCCCTCAGCCCCCTACTCCTGCCGGCCCTAATCTTTTACGGCAGGGAGCGTGCCATCGATGGCCGGCTGCGCGCGCTGCGTGCCGCAGACGCGCCGGTGCCCGCGCTCACCGCTGCGCAGCTGCGGGCCTTGCTGGCCGAGTGCGTCGCGCAGCAGGTGGCTGCGGGGCAGCGCGCCGCGCCGTCGAGCGCAGGCTCCCTGTCAGGCGGTCGCGGTGGCAGCATCAGCGGCGGTCGCGGCGGCAGCAGCAGCGGTGGTGACGGCGGCGGCGGCGGCGGTGGAGGGGCGGCCGAGGGACCCGGGGGCGTCGCGAGCAGGGCGGGGAGCTCCGTCAGGGTTTGACGCGGGCACAGGGAAGTTGCGTTGTGCTGGCGCCCCTGTGCCTCGACTCGCCACCGACTCCATGCCGCGGGTCCGCCTATCCAGCCAGGAGTTTTGCGTCCCCTGGCAGGCAGGCATCTGCGCGCCCGGTGCGGGCGGCGTGGCGTCCACCACCCCTGCATGGTCTGCAGCGGTCAATGAGTTGACGCAGCCCAGTGCTCACACCGCATCACCGGCCACTCCGTGCTCAGCCACCGCAAGTACCATTAAAATGTTGTTACAGCAGACTTGCAGCGTCAACAGGCTTTCATGCCATCACGCTGCGCATGATGCACGCTGCCCACAGTGCACCCACCTCCCGGTGCCAGCAATGACCATTTTGGAGTCGGAAGGCAGCTCAGCGCGCGATGACGCCAAGGGGCCGAGGCTCACCCGAAAGCGAGAGATATCTACTGTTCCGATATACTTCGCTCCTCACGTATTCCCTTTTCTCTGTCTATGATGCACGACACCGTCCCTTGAACTCGGACTTCCGCTTTCGTGTGAAAGGGCAAACGCAAGCCGCGTGACCCACAGTCCATGCTTCGGTTCAATCTCAAACGACCAATTGACACCTCTACGTCAGGTCCGTGCGCGACAACAGGCAGATCAGGGTGGCCCAGTCACACGCCGAGCGCGCCTCTAGGCGCCAGGGGAGCCCTGTAGGATAATGGCACGCACTCGGGGTGCGGCCAGGCGGGAGAAGCAGGCCGTGAAGCGCCCTGCTCCCCAAGAAGCGTCAGAGTGCGACTCCACTGTCAGGCAGTGGGGTCGCGTGGTTCCCCCAGCACGCAAACATCGGCGAACACGGGGAAGCAGCAGTGGCGAGGGCGTACCATGGGCTGACATGCCCGAGAACGCGCTTTACAAAGTTTTCGAGTCGCTGCTGCAGGACAAGCAGGCCCCTGCGGTGAGTGAATGCTCGATGGGGATAGCCTAGGGACCTTATCTGCGTCCCATTCTTATCCCACGTCCTTCGGGGACCGCGCACGTGCCGCTCTGCAGTTCCGCAGCGCTGCAGCTTGCTGCCGCACATGGCGCCTGGCTAGCCAAGAGGTGCTGCTGGACGACACCGCTGCGTCGCGACCAGAGCTGTAGGTGTCATCTCGCGCCTGCGCACGCTCGTGCACCACTGCTGCCGTCGGGACAGCGGTGCCAAGTGGCTTCGCCTTTCGCGCACTAAGAGCGGCCCTGCTTATTATTTGACCGATCAACCGAGGCATGCCCGCATTCCTTAGACGCGTGAGGTCACCTGCCCACCTCCGTGCAGGCCGCCGATGGTGGTGCCGGAGGTTGAGGAATGCAAGCCCACCACGGCAACCACTTGCAACGCCGGGCTGTGCGACGAGGCCGAGTCGGAGACCGAGGTCAACGGTGAGTGGCACAGTTTTCGGGGGCACCTCGTCACTGATAGCTGGTGGAATTGATCTTGCTCTTTGCAGCCACTTTTGGCACACCCAAAGAGGCGCTTCCTGCATGGATGGTCATGGTCGAGGGTCGTGAGTAATTGCGCTGGTGACACAGCCTAACCCATGTGCTGGATGGCACGCGTGCAGGGTTTGAGGCGTCCAGCCGCGAGCAGGCCAAGCGCAGGGCTGGCGGCGCGGCGGCTGGCGGCGTGGAGAGGAGGGCGGCGCTTGGCCGCCCCATGCGGCGCGCTGGCAGGACCGGCCGCGGCGCGGGAGCGGTCTCTGGTCTTGTCATGGCGGGGGCGGTTGGTGTTGAGGCGGGCGCGGCTGGGGGCGATGGAGGTGGGCCGGCCGATGCCGACGAGGCGGAGGTTGAGGCAGGTGCCTTTGGCGCGATCGCCGCCGCCGCTGTTGCTGCAATTGCAGCTCCAGACGCCGGGGACTCAGAGCAAGTGACGCCTGGGTTCGCCCAGAGGCGCCGTGCGGCCGGAGTACCCCCGCCGCCTCCCGCGCCGCTGCGCCACGCGCACGATTATCCGGTCTTCAACACCGGGGCGGCGCCGGAGGTGGCAGCGGCCGCCGCCGCAGCAATTGCGGCCGTCGACATGCAGCGGAGGCAGTTGCTGCTGCCTTCGGCGCCGCAGCAGCCTACGGCCTCAGCTGACCCTGCAGTGGCGGGGCCCTCTGATGCCGGCGCCCGTGCCCCTGGGGTGTGTCGTGTGAAGTCAGCCTACAATGGCGTGGGGATGGCTGCAGAGGCCGCCGCCGGCCCGTCAGGCCCCTGGGGAAACCCAGCCTTGGGCGCAATGACGGGTGCTGCTGGGGGCATGCATCCCGCTGGGAATCTAGCTGCGGCCGCTGGCGAGGATTCCGCGGGACTGGCGGCACGGCCGCGGCGGCGTGAGCGGCGGCGGCGGCACGAGCAGGGGCAAGATGATGGTGAGGAGGTGGAGCAGCAGCAGCAGCCGCACCAGCATCAGCACCAGCAGCAGCAGGGGCACGAAGAGGACGACGGTAGCCAGGACGCGGGCGCAGAGCCAGATGGGCTGCGCACCCGCTCCGTGCGCCCCCGGCGGCGCTGCTCCTCCGGCGGCGGCCCGTCGCAGGGCCAGCCATCGGGCCAGCATCAGCGCGAAGGGCATTGGCGGTTGGCCGGGGGCAGGAGCAGGTCCGCCGCGCCCCCAAGCGACGCGCCCAAGCGTCGCCTCCGGAGGTTGCGGCGCTCGGACACAGCAGAGGGCCCGGAGGGCGGGCAGGAGCCCCAGCCCCCACTGCAGCCGCAGCAGCGCCTCCGCCGCCACCAGCAGCCACAGCAGCGGCGCCGCCGGTCGGCGGATGAGGGCGGGCGCTCGCAGGGGCAATCGCATGGAGGGACTGGGTGGCAGGCCGAGGGTGAGCTGCCAGAGGATGCTGAGCAGCAGCAACAGCAGCCGCAGCAGCAGCAGCAACAGCAGCAGCAGCAACCGCAGCTGCAGCACGGCGAGGAGGGTGAGGAGGAGGTCAATCCAAGTCAAATCATGCGGCGCCCCAGCGGTGGCATGCTGGAGAGCTTGGCGGGCTTTTTGTCGGCCGCGTTCAAGCGCGGCAAGCGGGCTGGTGCTGAGCACCACTGACTGGCGCCCGAGCGACCGACGGTTGTCGGCGCAACTTGTATGACACGATGGCAGGAGTTCTGGGTGATATCCTTTTCAGTCCTTTCTCAATGTTCCTTTCTCCTCCTTTGAGATCTCAAGAGGTCAGGTCTTTTTGCTGGGGGCTCGGTCAAGTCAGGCAGCTTGTGCGGCGGGGTGACTTGGTTCCTCCGCGGGCAAAGCAGGCTTGGCAGAGCCGGTCATATTTCGAGGACTGGGGCTCCCTTACAGCCCTGGCCGTGCACGGCTCCCCCCTCTTGGGGGCAACCCCTCTCCTGGTCTGCTGCTCGCCCATCCCAGTGCTCGCGCCCACCTCCTGCACACGCTTGCGTGCGCATGTATTCCACCCGCGCGCGCCTTGCCCCACTGTCAAGCACCTGCGCCGCCCATCGCCCCCCGCGATGCACGCGATTGCCATATTTTTGCTTTGCGGTGCGACAGCGTTCACCTCCCCCCGCTCTTGGCTCTCACGCCCTGGCCCCATGACCGCGCGCACATTTTGGGAAGAGGGAATGATAAAACCAAGGCAGGAGGGCGTTGCCTCCTGTTCTTGTCACGCTTCCCTGCACCCAACCTCAGGATTTTCAACGGGCGAGCCTCTGCGATGGCGCGCATGCGGCGGAGCCATGCGGCCGAGCCGTGCGGCTGCTGGGCGTGCACGCTGGATGATATATACTCGGCATCTCATGTCTGCTGCTGGCTGCATTGGCTGCGAGTGTACGCGCTTGTAAAACAGAGTCCCATCAAGTGCAGTGTGGAAGGCTACACGGACCGGCCGGCGCCGATTACAAGCGGGCATATAGGCAGGCAGCTGTCTGATGCGGGCTGCGCCTGGGAAGATGGCACCTTCACACCCGCCGTGCATGAGCGCCAACAATCTAGCGCCATGAGGCGCTGCTTGCATCGGAAACACCCTGCCCCTTGCCATGCGTTTCACCCAGCTGCACATGGCGCACGTGATGGCACAACAGAAACGTAATCAAGACAGCACAGAGTAGGCAGGGCAGCCAGCCACGCAGGATGGGTGGACCACGCGTTGACCGCTCGGTGCGACCAGGCATGCTACTGCGGTTGGCTGTTGGGGTACGGCTGGTGGTGGTATTGGTGGTGGGGGTGCGGCTGCTGCGATGGGTGGTGGTAGTGTTGCTGGTGCTGCTGCTGCTGGTGTTGTTGCTGCGGGTGCTGGTGGTGGTGGTGCTGCTGGTTGAGTTGCTCCAGCTGCTGCTGCAGCCGCTCCTTTATCCGCCGCACTTCCTCTTGCCGCTGCGCCCGGTGCTGCTCCCGAACCTCGGCCTCGCGCCGCTGCTCCTCCTCCGTCAGGCTGCAGAAAGGGGAAGGCGGGTGTGGTTGTGGGTGAGGGCATGAGCCCCTCCGCATGAGCCCTCAACCTCACTTAGTAACACCTGCCCTGCGCATTCAGCAGCTGCCCGGCCCTGCTGGTGCCGGCGGGCGCATCCTCGGCAAGCGGAGGGCCAAGTGCGACGCGGCCCTTGAAGAGGCGATTGGGCGCCGGGGCGCCGGGGCGAGGTGACATGCATGCAGGCATGCAATAAGGCCTGTGAGCAGATGACCTCACCTGCAGAGGGCCTCCAGCACCCGCATTTCAACCTCCCTGGAGATGTCGCTGTCCGGCCCAGCGAGCGCCTGCCACAGCACTGCCTGGGCGTCGCCGCGCAGCTGCTGGCTGCGGTGGCAGGAAGAGACGTGCGCATGTGTGTGCATGTGTTTGTGGGCGCGTGCGTGCATGTCGCGCGCATGTGTGTGTGTGTGTGTGTGTGTGTGTGTGTGTGAGCAAGCGCACACGCATGACTGTGCACGAACGCGTGATCGTTGTGAAGGTGGGCTGAGAAGGACAAGAGAGTGTGGGGAACGCTGACATATAATGCATGAAGCGTTTCCGCAAGTTCACATGTTCACTGCAAAGCCGAGCGCGCCGCACCCCATGCGCTTGATTGCCGTTACCAGCAACAAAGCCAGACCGCCAACATGCATGCACGTCCGCTCGCATGGCAGTGCACACAGCCCACCACATGACCGCCGCCTTGCGCAGACCAGCAAGCCCTGCTGGGCCCCGCCCCTCCCCCCACAAACTAGATCTGCTCGTGCCACCCACATCAATTGCAACTTGATCTCCTCGACCTTGTTTTTCCGCGCCCCCCTCGGCTTCTTATCCAGCTCTTCCAGGTCGTGCGACGCCACAGATTTCAGGAGTAGCTCCTGCAGCCGCGCGTCAAACGCCGCCTGCGAGACGCCGCACGCGCACGTTACACACCCGCGCTGCGAGTTTGTTGCGCGGATGCGCTATGCGGTGGGGGGAAGCGGCAGCAGGCTTTGCTGCGAGCACGCCCCCCGGGCGATCGCACTGTCACAGCGGCACGATGACTGCCGCTTTGACTCACATCATTCCTCAAGTGCTCTGCAACCTGCACGATGACGCGATACATGCGCTGTCAATGGTTATCACTTGCGTTAGTCGCGCAGCATGCAGCGTGCAGCATGCTCTCGCCGCTGCTGAGCGTGCCACTGCACGTCCGCTGAGCCGCGACAGCACCCGAGCGCACCTTGCGCCTGATGCTGTCGAGGGCGCCAGCCTTTGTGAGACGCTCACACACCGCTTCCTGTAGTTGCTGGGCATGGCTGCTTGATGGATGGTCATTCATCTCGCAAACATCCCCGTTCTATTGTATTACAGAAGGCTGATGTAATATGTGGTATGTATTATGTTGGGCATAAGCTAAGCCGACAATAAGATTTGTTTTGGCAAGCGTCAGTGCTGCAATTCTGAAATCTTTCGTGAGATCGGCTGATCTGACTGTCATTCTTTGCTGTACCGGTATTCTATCGGCACCTATGTTTTCAATAAACAACCTGTGATAAGTTCCCACTACCCCGAGGGTCACAGCGTGGTGCTGAACGCCTCCTCCCCGCACTGCGCCACCGCCTGTGGGTCAGTGGGACGGCTGCACTGTCGATGTGCCCAGCGCGCGCCTGGCGCCTCTGCCTCCTCGCCGTGCTCGTTACAGCAGTGATAGACACAGCGGCTGAGGCAGTCGGCGAGCGCACTGCGCAGCTGCAGGCGGTGGAGCAGGTCCTGCGGCCGCACGAGCCACTGCTGGCACAACTGATTGAGCTCGACTCGGAGGTCAAGAGGTGCGCTCCCGCCGCCGACCACACCGACGCGTCGTGTCCGTTGGGGTTTTGCTTTGATTAGAGAGTGGGTTGAAGCGGGCGCGGTATGGCGCTGAACAAACGATCTGGCTGCTGTCACCGCGGGTTTTGTCCAGCATCGCGCCGCTCCGTGACACATGCCCGCTGCCGCCGGTGCACGGCGCCAATCGACCCTGGTCATCTTGGATCAACGCCCAAGGTATCGCCTTTCGGGCCTCAAGCCAGCGACTGGCTACGAGCTTCGTCTTTCCTACCCAGCTTCGGTGCGGCCGCGTGGCGCCGGCAATGTGATGTGCTGCCGAATGAGCCTCCAATCAATAAATCAGGGCACCAGGAAATTGCTTGCCCGCGGTGCAGCCGAGATGACGACTGCAATTGAACCGGATGACCTCGCGCGCCCTTGCTCTCCCTGCCCCCTGGAATCGCGGCAGATCCCCGCCACAATCCGGTTCGCGTGGGAGCGTGGCGGCTTTGAGGGCGCCGCGGCGGCTGAAAGCTCCGGGCCCGCCAGCAGCACCAGCAGCGGCAGCGGCAGCGGCAGCGGCAGCGGCGGCGGTCTCCTGCGAAGGCGCGGGCGGCGGCTGTTGGACGTCGCAAAATTCGAATTTCGAACCGGCCCAGCGGGCGGCGGCAGCGGTGGCGGTGCAGGCGGGGCCGGGCGCGCGTCGGAAGCCGGGCGGGCGCCCGCGGAGGAGGGGGCTGTCGTGTTGCTGTCGGCCGGCCGGCGAAGCGTGCACAGGGACGGGCCGCAGGGGGGCACGACGCACCTGGTCTACGACATAGGTAGGCTTGCGCTCCCTGCCGCTGGCAAGATGCGGGGATGGCCGCAATCTGGGCCAAGCATGCGCCCCCCCCCCCGCGGGGCGGGGTCTTAATCATCCCCACAGCCGTGCGCATGTGGGACCCCCAAAGCGTGCTTCCGCACACCTTTGGCGTGGCGTCATCTCATCTCGCGCGCCCCTCCCAGCTGCCCAACGCCCTTCTGAGCTGCGTGCGCCCGTCGCCCCCACGGGCCCCGCGCTGCGCCGGCACTCACCCCTCACCAGTCCTCGCAGAGCTGTGGCTCGGCCTGCCTGCGGACGCCCTGCCTGTGGTGTGCGTCGCCGTCGCGCTGCTGCTGGCGGTGGCTGCCTTTGTGCCGCTCTGGTCGGCCCGCCTGTTCCCCGCCCTGCTCGACTGGGTGCTCGCGGCGCCCAGCAGCAGCTGCAGCGCCAAAGGCGAGGCGCCGGCGGCGCCGGGGCCGTCGGAGCGCCGACGCAGACCAGGCGCGGGCGCCAAGCGCGCCGCCGAGTGAGCTAGGGCCGCGGCCGCCAGGTCGCGCACGCACACGCCCCGCCACCCTGAAACCCTGATATCTCCAAATCTGTATGAAATTCAGTCAACGCGAAGAAAGTGCTGCCATGGACGAGGCGAACTGCGAGCTGGCGTGCGGCATGGTGTCGGCCGCCTACATCAGGCAGGGGGCCCAGGCGCTGGCCTCGCGGCGCCGCCTGGTCAAGGCGCTTCTGTCCAGCCGGCGGCTGCCGCAGCGCGGCTGGGACGAGGCCACGACCGAGATGCTGCTGCAGGTGGGTGCTCAGGAGCTGGGCCAGGCGTCCATCCGTGCGTGCTTGTCCCCCTGTTTCACTGGTTGCGGGCCTGTCTCCAGCTGCTGACTGGAACTCTCGAATTCAGGCGATGCTGTGTTGTGGGAGGGATTCACGGTCACAACCGCCTCACCCATCGACGCAGCTGCAGCTGTCAGTCCTCAACATTCGTATGTCCAGCTATGTGGTATCCCCTCCTCGCACGCGCTCTGGCGTGCGGCCGTCCCCCCCACACACACACGCACGCGCACGCACGCACGCATGCGCACGCGCATGCGCGCACACATACACACACACACACACACACACACACACACACACACACACACACACACACACACACACACATGTACCCACAAACATGTACCCACACACACACGCACACAACCTCACACACTCGCACGTCGGCAAACCTTGAAGGATGCCTCCCTGATGGACTCCAACACGTTCCCCTCAAACGTCGGCGTCGGCGAGCGCGAGGCTCGCGTCGCCTGCCCCCTCGTTGCGCGCCGCCACTACCGCCTCGCGCACGGCGTCGGGCGCAGCGGCGACGTGGCGGCGGAACAGCCCAAGGCGGCGGGGTCCAGCCTGCTGGCCAAGCTGGGGGCGGCGCTGGCTGGGGACGCGCTGGGAATCGCGGGGCTGGAGGGCATGGGCACGCCCGTGGTGAGTGGGGTGCAACGTGTTTGTGTGTGATCAAAAATGTCTTGGGGAAGGTCTTGGATTGCTGTTCTGAGAGAGCGTATAGCTTTGCATGTGCATTTGTGTGTGTGAGGATGTGCAACTTGACGGCTCAGAGATTTGGCCTTATTGCGAACACTTTCTGTTGCTGCACCCACTGCAAACCTGCACGTGCAGCCGGTCGACCAAGGCCGCTGCAGGTGCGGAAGCGTCCCCCCCAGCCCCTCGGCCCCCTCTAACACCACCGCCGCCGTCACAACCGGCAGGTGCTGCCGCTCGCCACAGGCATGGCGCTCACGCAGACGCTGCTGGCGGCGGCGGGCCAGCGCGGCCCCGGGGCGCGTCACGTGGTGTGGAGCCGCATCGACCAGAAGACCTGCCTCAAGGCCATCACGGCCGCAAACCTGGTGGGCCTCAGATGACGTCATCAAGCTGCACTGATGACGTCCTAGTGCTTGCTGCAGCAGCAGCAGCAGCTGATTGCCCCGGCGCACAGCGCTAGCGTGCAGCACTCTGAAAAGGGGTGGTGGCAATTTTGGTCAGTGACGGTCCGTTTGCATGCCTCGTATGGCGCTTCGCATCAGGTGCCCGCGGTGGTTGAGCTGACTCGCGACGGCGACCAGCTGGTGACTGACCTGGCGGCCATCCAGGCAACTGTGGAGAAGCTGGGCGCCAGCCAGGTGGCAGCCGTGGTGACCACCACCTCGTGTTTCGCACCCAGGTGGGCCACGCGAGGCATTGGTCTGCCAGTAGCGCGCCGCCGCTGCTGCACGGCACACGCCCTCGCCCTTGTGCGTTTGTTGCCCCTGAGGCAGAATATCGGCAGCATTCCAATCACGCAGCATGCGTTGATGGGCGCCGTCTCAGCGAACACTGCCCGACCCCAAAAGCACCGCACAACCCCATGGCTGCGCTGCGTGGCGCGCCCTCGACGCTCAAAAATCGCCACCGCAGGGCCTGCGACGACGTGGTGGGTGTCGCCAGGCTCTGCGCCCGCCTTGGGCTGCCCCACATAATCAACAACGCCTACGGCGTACAGTCGCGCCAGATCTGCGCCCAGATCACGGCCGCCGCGCGCCGCGGGCGCGTGGACGCTGTCGTCCAGTCGACCGACAAGGCGCGCGCGCCTGGCTGGGCTTGGGGCCTTGGGGACCGTTTTCTTTTCTTTCGAGCGGGGCAGGAGAGGGGATGGGGACGACGGCAGGAGGTAGATTTTCCTGAGGGGTTGCGCCGGGTCTGATTTCACAGCCCCACCACAGGCACTATCTTGACTCACCTGTTGTCACCCCTTTTCACTTGTTGCAATCCGTTGTCACTCAATGTCTCATTTCGTCAGTCAATGCAACCCGTCGTCACCTGCCGTCACCCGTTGTCTCCGCACAGAACTTCATGGTGCCGGTCGGGGGTGCCCTCGTCGTCTCCCCCGCCTCCGCCGACCGGCCCCTCGCCGCCGCCGTGGCGCGCGCATACCCCGGCCGCGCGTCGTCCGCACCGCTGGTGGACCTCCTCGCCACCCTGCTGCACTGGGGCGCGGACGGCTGGCGGGCGGCGCTCGCCGCGCGCGAGGCGCTGCTCCCGCATTTGACCGCTCAGCTGCAGGTGGCCGCGGCCGAGATCGGCGAGAGGGTGCTGGTTACGCCGGGTAACCCGATATCGGTCGCCGTCACTCTGGATGGCCTGCAGGCCGCCGCGGCCGGCAGAGCAGGGGCCAGCGGCAGCGACGCTCCCAAGCGCGAGGCCGCAGGGGCCAGCGAGGCCGCAGGGGCCAGCGGCGGCGGGCTGGGAGGCGGAGGAGGGGAGGGTGTGGCAGGCGTCACGGCAGGCTGCGCCAAGCGCGGCGGCGGCGGCGGCGGCGGCGGCGCCACCTACTTCGGCTCTATGCTTTGGGCGCGCGGCGTGTCCGGCGCGCGCGTTGTCGCGCCGGGGGCGCCGCGGCAGGAGGTTGCGGGCATCGCGTTTGATGGCTATGGGGCGCACTGCGCCGGCGGCGGCTACCCGCATGCGTATGTGACGGCCGCGGCCGCAATCGGGGGCAGCGAAGCGGAGGTAGACGAGTTCTGCAGGCGGCTGGTCAAGGCCTACGGGGAGTTCAAAAGGCAGGAGACCCGGCGGCGCGGCGGCGGCCGGGGCCGCAGCGAGGGCGGTGGGGCTGCGGGCGGAGAGGGCGCCGTTCGGGCCGTCAACGGCGCCGCTGGGACGGAAGGCGCTGGTGGGGAGGTTAGTCCTGAGGGGGATCGGGCTGCTGCAGAGCAGCAAAGTGCACAATAGTGGCGCCCCGAGGTTGCCAACACCACAGCAGTTTTTTGGCGCTGACATTTGCGCCAGCGTAGGTTGGATGGTCGGTGGTTAAGTGCACACATGGTTTGCTCGGGTCGCCTTAACAAGTTGAAGCAGGGCTGCCCTAAGTTATCAGCGTTCTGACGTTGGCGATTGCAGCAATGTGCACATTGACGTGGTTGTGTGAGGTGTTACAACGGAAATATATGTATCAAAGGGCAAAAGGACTGCCTATACTGTGATGTTCAAACACACCTGTCGTCCCGGGACAGCACAGCGAGGAAGGCTTTCTAAGGGCTCCTTGTTCACGGAAACGAGGTTGATGCTGGCACAAGCCCGCCCAACGACACTGAAATCTGACAAGTGCGAGGGGTGGCTCAAGGCTATAAAAATCCGAGGCATTATACTGCAAAGTATCTCATTTGGCCATGCGTGGGGGTTGCATCAACCGTTGACACGCCACCCCTGGGCCCCAATCATACGTGCCGACACTAGGGCAGTCCTTGAGCTGTATCACTGGCTTCTTGCATACACTTGTAACCCCCCCATCCGCCGCAATACACGCGATTCTTCGCCTCCCACAGCTTCTTGTCGGACGGCCGGCATAAATATGACGCAGGTGGCCGCCTTTAAGACACAAAACACTGAGACACCCACCAAAGAACCTGCCATCCGGCTGCTTGCGCCAGTAAAACCCCTTCATCCGCCACTCCCTGGAAAGCCACGCGCCGTTCAGAAGTTCAGGTACAGCCGCCGAACCCCGCCGTTGCGGTCAGCCGGCGCGGCGCACACGCTGCACACGCGCAGCTGCTGCGCGCAGGGCAGGCAGTACAGGTGTCCGCAGGGCAGGGAGGCCGCATCGTCCAGCCCGTCCTGTGGTAGCAAAAGATGGACAGCAGGGCAGGTGGAACGGAAACGGCCGGAGGTCGGTTAAGGGGGCCCCATCTCGTCATCTGCGCGGTTGCTATTCTTTATTCTAGCAGGAAACGGACAGACGGGTGGTGGACGGCCTGACAAAGGCAGAGGCCCGCCCGGGTGGCCGGAGGTTGGGCCTCCCAAGCAGGTGGCTGCACCAGGAGACGCCGATTTACGGTGGCTCTTGCAACCAGCACACCCCTTGCCTTGCTGCCAAAAGCAGTCAAGCAAGCCTGCCCCCTTACCTGCGTGCCGCCGAGGCAAACGAGGCACTCCCAGCCGGCGGCAGCCCCCCGCCTCGCCACCCTGCCGCGCCGCGCCGCCGCGGCGTCGTCGTCGCCCCCGGGCAGCAGCGCGCGCATGCGCTCCTCCGGCGTCAGGCGGGCCAGCAGCGCCCGCGCCTGGGCCGCAGGGCCCTCCGCCAACTGCGCAGCCAGCGCCGCCGCGCGTGCGACCGCGGCGTCCCGCGCAGATTGCGCCGCCGAAACCTCGGCTCGCGCAGCGGCCAGCTCCCTGTTGCGCCGCGCTGCATCGGCCTCCAGTTCCAGCAGGCGCCGCTCCAAGCTTGCAAGCCGCTGCTGCTGCTGCTGCTGCTGCTGCTGCTGCTGCTGCTGCTGCTGCTGCTGCTGCTGCTGCTGCTGCCGCTGCTGCCGCTGCTGCTGCTGCTGTTGCTGCTGCTGCTCCCTGTGCTGCAGCTGCTGTTGCTCCTGCTGCTGCTCCCTATGCTGCCTCTGCTTCTCATGCTTCTCTTGCTGCTCTTGCTCTTGCTGCTGCTGCTGCTGCTGCTGCTGCTGCTGCTGCCGCTGCTGCTGCTGCACTAATGTGGGGCCCTGCTTGCGCTGAACGAGCTGCAGCAGTGTGTGACCGAGCGCGTCCCCAGGCGACACAGGCGGCGGCTGCGGATTGCGCGGCTGCTGGAGCGTCGCAGGGGAAAGCGGCGGCACCTGAGGCGCCGCCTCAGCCTCCTGCTGCTGCTGCTGCTGCTGCTGCTGCTGCCACACCAGAGGCTGAGCCAGTGGTGGTGCCTGCTGCCCTGCCGGCGCAGCAACCAGTGGGGCGGGCACCACAAGCGCGCCCTGCGGCCCACTGCTTGCGGCACTTGCCCCTGCACGACCCCTGTTGAACATCGCAAATACACCCCCGAGGTGGGCCGGTCCTGCGCCCGCCGCCGCATTAGCCGCGGCGGCAGAGCGTGCTGGCGCTGCTGGCGCTGGCGTCACCAGCGGCGGCGCGGCGACGAGCTGCGTGAGAGCCACCAGGGGCGCCAACCCCCGCACCGCGGCCCCCGGCGTCGCCACAGCCGCTGCTGTGGGTGCGGCGCTGGGCGAAGCGAGCGCAGAGGGCGCCTGCAGCGCGCCGTCCACCGCAATACTGGGCGGGGCGGGCGCTGCGGCCGTGGGTGCTGTCGAGGGGCGCTTCGCTGCTGCCTGCTGCCCTGCTGGTGCCGCGCTGGCTGGCGCCCCAAAGGCCAACCCTGTGATGTGCCCCGGCAGCGCCGCTGCGCGCGGCGGCGCGGGCGGGGCAGCGGGCGCAGGAGCGGGCAGAGGGACGGGGATTGGGATTGGGATGGAGGCTGCCGCGACATGCCGAGCCTGGGCCGCTGCGGAGGCGGGCGAGGGGGGAGCCGCTGGCGGGGCGGCCGCTGCGGCGAGAGCGGCGGCGACCGGCGCCAGCTGGGCCGTCACAGTGGCAGGCGACGCGGAGGGCGCCGGCGCTGGACTTGCAGGAGCTGCCGCCTGGGGGGCCGATGCACGTTTCAGAGGTGACGCGGCCGGCGTTGCTGTCCTTACAGCTTCCGCCATTGAGTGTGCAGGGCTGAGCCCCTGCTGGCTCAAAGGGACTGCTGGGGCTGACGCCGGCCGGCCTGCTGCGGCGCGACGCAGGGCGGCTGCCGCGCCGAGTGCCGGCCACTCTGTTAGTTGTTCCTGCTGTTGCTGCTGCTGCTGATGCTGCTGTTCCAGTTTCTGCTGCTGCTTGTGTTCCTGCTTTTGTTGCTGCTGCTGTTGCTGCTGCTGCTGCTGTCTCCGCTCCTGTTTCTGCTGCTGCTGCTGCTGCTGCTGCTGCTGCTGCTGCTGCTGCTGCTGCTGCTCCTGTTTCTGCTGCTGCTGTTGAGCAGCTGCCTGCGACATTTGTGCCGGCGCGTCCGATTTTGCCGCCGCTTTTGCCGGCGACCCCAGCACCGCGTCTTCAGCCCGCGCATCTAACTGCGGCGCCTGCTGGCGCGCCGCCGCCGCCGGCTTGGCCCGCCGGCCGCCGGACCCCGCCCCTGCATCATCTTTGCCGCCGCTGCCCCGCCTCCGCCCGGGCAGCAGCACCAGCCGCGCGTCGTCCGGCAGACGCACCAAGCCCTTCCCCGGCTCCGCCTCGGCTTGCTCGTCTGCTCGTGCGCCCGCCTCCCCGGGCGGGCTCTGGCACACCCCTTCAGCCGGAGAAGCCTGCCCACTGCACGTACCTTGAAGCACTGAGTTGGGCGCGCGCTCGCGGCCCACGGGCTTCTCTGCGGCTGAAGCGGCCTGGCAAGGGGTTGGCTGCGCCGCCTTCGCGGCCTCCGCCGCCATGCCCTTGACATCAACCTTGCCCGTACCCGCGCCCACGCTCGAGCCCGCCGCCACCGGCCCCGCCGCCGCGCGGCCCCGTTCCGCCTGCAGCGCCCTAGCCCTCTGCTCCTCCGCCCGCCGCGCGCCCGCCGCCGCGCGCGCCGCCGCCGCGTGCTCCTCGATCCACGTGCGCGCCTGGCCGCGCGCGGCGCCGGTGGAAAGCAGCTGCGCGGCGGCGGGGCAGCCCGCGTCGCGCGCGGCGGCGGCGGCCTCTCTGACGTCATCAGAAGCCAAAAACAGCTCCTCCAGAGCCCTCTGCAGCTCTCCTTCACCACCGCCACCGCCACCGCCGTTGCCTTTGTCGCTTCTTCTCCCGCCGCTGCGGCTGCGTCGACCGCCGCGGCCGGCGGCCGCCAGGGCGTTCAGGCTCCTGCGCAGCGCCGCCTGCAGGCGGGAAGTTCCCGCCGCGAACAGCATGTGGAGTTCGCGATCTGCCTTCAAGGCTGGGTCGGCCAGGAGGGCGGCGGCAGCGGGGACGGTTGACGTAGAAATGCGCTTTAGGGCCGCCTCTGTTCGCTCAAAGTCGCCCAGCTGTGGAGTTGGGAGCGGATGTGCGGCAGGAGGGGGGTCGACGGAGGAGGAGGGGCAGCGAGTGAGCGCCAGAGGCAGTATAGGTGGAGTGTGGGCGGACGGGAAAGAAGGGAGGGGGGGGGGGGAAAAGGGGAGTGGGTGCGCATTGCTGGGTTTGCGATGTGCAATCAGGGGGACACGCAAGGAGCGCGGCTGGGCAGCCACGGCGGCCACAGGTAGCAGGCACGCGCGCGTCCCGACCAGCAGCATCAGCAACAAGCTACGTTCCCCACAATGCCACCTAAACAAAGAGGCAACCATCACTATGAAAACGCACCTGCAGGTAAGCCAGCGCCGCCTCCGCCTGCCGCCCAGGCAGCACCATCAGCGCCTTCCCCGCCAGCCCCAGCCACTCGCGCCACTCGGCGCCCGACGCCGCGCTGCCGCCGCCGCCGCCGCCGCACGCCGCCGCGGCGCGCAGCAGCAGGCTGACCCCGTCGGACAGCTCCCCGGCCTCCATCGCCGCAAACCTGTTTCAAAGGGTGGGGGTGTCAGCACAAGGTCAGCAGGGGCGCGCCCGCCGTCAGCCGCGGCGAGGGCGCAGCTCAGCAGTTCTTGTTTGTCAGACGCAGCATGCACCCGTACTGGGCACGCCGCCCACCCTGCCGAACCCATGACCACGCAGCTGCACTCCACGCGACGCAAAACACGAGATACCCAAATGTAGTCGACATCCCAACCTGCTCACCCGAGCATGGCAGCAAACCGCGCCCTGTCGCCCGCCTGGCGGTAGCACTTTGCCGCCAGCTCATACTGCCCGCGGTTGTGGAGCTGCGCCCCGCGCGCCGCCCAGTCGTCGGGGCCAGAGCTCACGGAGCCGGACAGCAGCGCGCCCGTGTCGTCGGCGACTGCCAGGGGCTCCTGTGATGTGTGTGTGTGTGGGGGGGGGGGCGGCAGCGAGGGAGAGAGAGTGTGTGTGTCAGAGGGAGGGAGAGTGTGTGGGCAAGTGAGTATGATTCTGTGTGTGCAAAAGAGACACACACAGAGAGAGGGAGAGAGAGAGAGAGAGAGAGAGAGTGTGTGTGTGTGTGTGTGTGTGTGTGTGTGTGTGCGTGTGCGCGCGCGTGCGTGTGTGAGAGCTCGCGCATGTATGTACGTGCGTGCACGCCCATGCGTGCACACAAACGTGTGTGCGTGCAAACGGTATGTGTGGCTGCGGATAAGCGGGTCAGAGCAGCCGCAGAGGAACCATGTCAGTGCAGAAGCCTGCGACGCGCGGGCAATGCACAGGCCGTGCGTCGGGTCTCCGCGGGGCGCGAGCCGCGTGCCATGTTGGCGAGGCAAGGGTGGTTAGGCACAGGCTCGCCTTGATGAAGGTGGCCAGCCCCAGGCGCTGCAGGGCAAAGTAGACCGGCCCCGCCTTGTGGGGGTCGCTCTCAAACAGGATCAAGTTGGCGCGCGCACTTTGGGGAGGGGGCGAAGCGGGAGGCAGGCGGGGTGGGAAGTCGGGCGAGGGGTGTTATGTCAGGAGGGAGGCAGCCGCATGAGCTGCTGGGCGGCGCCGTGGGACGCAGGGGAGGTTGATTGGAGAGGCACAAGGCGCGGTGAGCGTGAGGGGCAAGAGGCCGCCAGCGGCGAGAGACTGGGCGAAAGCCGGCATCCACAATTGCACGGCGCACAGGGGCTTACACACCCGGCGGCTTCCATTTTGATTCTCACAGCGGTGAGCATTGCGCGGCAAACATTCAAGCAGCATGGCCTGTGCCGATGTGATGGTCGGTGTGATGGGGAACCCCCCCTCACCGTGTCACGGCCACGTACAGCAGCTTGATCTCCTCCACCAGCGCCGCGTGCAGCGCGGGGTCAAACTCCAGGGGGGCCACGTGGGCCTCGCCCTCGTCGTCAAGGAACACGTCCTGGGGCGATGAGAGTCAATGATGTATAATCGGGGTGAGTGATGACGCCATGTGGTGATGCCATGCGACGGCGTTGCCCATGGGTTGGGAGATGTGTGGAGCACGGAATCGTGCGCGTGGGGGCTGGGGCTGGGGGCTGGTCTGAGGGGGGCGTCCAGTTTTGGGGCTTGCCAACCCACAGACTGCAAACATGTGTGCATACCATTGCACCGCTGCACACACAAAAACACACGCTCACACGCTCACACGCTCACACGCTCACACACACACACACACACGCGCGCGCGCGCGCGCGGGCGTGCGCGCTGACACCCTCGCACACCCCTCACCTCCAGCTGCTGAGCCGCGCCCCCGTCCTCCGCGAGGCGCTCCAGCCACGACAGCATGCAGCGCCACACGTTGGCGTTCGAGTCCGTCATGCTCGAGAAGAAGTCCACCAGCAATGACGTGTTGAATTCCAGGCCCTGAGTCAGGGGTGCGTAAGCGGTCAGGGTGTCAGGAAGAGAGCGGGTCTGGATGCGGCCAGGCCAAGCTAGTGTTGTCGTCACGGGCTGGTAGGGCTGAGGGCCAGCCAGACGCGCAGGCAACGCAGTAGAGCCAGTGCGACGCCGCCCGTGGGTGCCGGACGCGGTACGTGAATCAACCGCGGTCATACGCTCAATTTGGCAGCGTGCTGGTGGGTCAATCACCATGGGACAAGTCGACCCGCGGATCACCACACAACCACCAGGCCCCCACCTTGGCCTCCCTCACGGTCATCACCAGCGCGCCGCTGCCCTGCACGCGCGCCGGCAGCTTGGCGGCCCCCGAGTCGCGCACCAGGACGCACACGTCTGCCCCAAACTCAAGCTGGGGTTACCGGCGGTGCGATGCGTGTGGAGCGGAGTTGGGATGAAAGCAAAGGGGAGGCGTCGCAAGAACAGAGGGGAAGAGGGTCAGGCCAGTCAGATGAGAAGGGCAGGTGTGAGGACTGAATGGGATTGAGCAATTCACAAGCAGGCATGCACCGCCACAATTTCAAACCGTTCTTCCCCGTGTGATCAACGCGCACACCACACCCGCTGCATTGCCCAGACAACACCAGACAATCACGTCACACGCATGGCCCGGCACCAGAAAAGCAAGCTCACCCGCCGCCTGCTCTTGCCCCTGGAGAGCAGCAGCGCCACGTCATCCTCAGTCATGCGGCCCAGCAGCAGGGGCCGCGGGCCGCCGAAGAACGCGCGCTCCCTCGGCTGCAGGCGACGGGATGCGGCGCCACGTCAGCAAAGTCGGCGCAGCCAAGGCCGGAGGGTTTGCGCCGCCACCCAACCCCCCATCCCGCCCCGCATACTCAAAGAGGGCGTGAAGCCATCCAAGCCGCCGGCATCCGCTGGAGGATGACAAACCCTGTCAGCAGTGCCTGGCGCATGGGTGACGCATGCGGTACCAAGCCAGCAAAGCGCAAGTAAAGCACCACACCGACAGACAGGTGGCTGCTGAGCCAAACCCACCAGCTTGTCGAGCGCGTTGCGGTCAACGGCGCCCAAAAAGGACACCAGGGCGTTGGCCACGTCAAGGATGCCTTGGAGACATGATGGTGTGGGGTGGGGTGTGGTGTGCTTAGTCGGATGACCGCATCAGGGTGCGCGACAGACGCTGGTACAGGTGAAAACGCATGAATGGCAAACAGCAAGATGTGGAACTCGGTCGACCAAGCAAGTGGTGGACCGACTTGTTGAGCCTCCTGCCCTGCCACGTGCTGATCGTGCAACATCCACAGACCCCGGGATAGAGCCTCAGACTTGTGCCCGCCCGCGCCCAACCGTCCGCCCGCACACCTGCGTGGGTGCGGTAGTTGGTGCAGAGGCTGAGCTGCAGCGGCGGCCCGACCGCGGCCGCGGCACCCTCGCGGCGGCCCCCGCGGCGCGCCTCCTTTTCGATGTGCTGTGTCAGCATCGACTTGACGTCGGTGAAGCGGAAGCCCACGCCGGCGGTGATGGTCTGGGCGGTGTCCCCTGCAAACACAGGCGCCACAGAAGTGGGTACGCATCATCCAACAAGATCATGTGTATCTTGGCCAAGACATGCAGGGGCGATCTCAATGCCTCATGTCTGTGTGCTTGACCTCTCAGGCATAGTGTCCCGTCTGCCGCCGCTCACCGGAGTAGAAGACGCCCCCGACACCCCCCTGGCCCAGCAGTGCCAGGTCCAGCTCGAGCTCGCCTTGGATGAAGTCTGGGGTGAGGGTTGGGGGTGGTGGGGTGAGGGG